GGCGCCATCATCGCATGCATGCATGCATGAGAGGGCTCCTCTCATCCTCTGTTGTAGCCATGGGATCAGTTGTTGCTACTACTGTTCGATCTTTGACATCTCTTCCACCATGATTGTTGAATACAAGCAAGGAACAGTAAAAGTAATGTCCCAGGTTTGGCAGAGAAATCAAAGTTGGTGCTAACTGAGGTAGCCATACTTGTTCCTTTGCCTTCGGATTCTCGGATTTGAGACGCCAACTTTTCCACTTGTTCATCCATATTTGGTCCTATTTGTATGGAGTTGATTGTTACCTTGACAAAGAGAGCAGCGGTGATCATGGTGTTGGCATGCAGTGAAATCTAATCTTGACCCCAACAATCATGATGATATATTCGTGGTCGTTTCCTTGGGTGATTGAAATCAAAGAATTGATCGTCAAGTGTAATCAATTAATGAGTTGCAGATATCACACAAAATGAATCGAGTGTAATTAAAACATCCAAAACTTTTAGTTCTTATCAATGTAAGAAACAGATTCAAACTCGTTATTTCTCGCTTTCCATCCAATACATATGATCCCTGTAACTGTGAATTCAATGAGATGAATAATTCTTCTTAAGATAATAGTAGATTGGCATGAGACTCTATGAATATTCTACTATCTTGGGTGACAAATTCCAGCAATGGGTGGTGGTGTGATGACAGCAGACAGTAAGAAACACATAATGATAGTGTTTTATGGAGGCCTGTGACCTGACGCAGAATTTGTATCCAATACATGGCATAAGTGTTCATAAGATCATGTCATAGTCTTTCCTAGACATGGCTACATTCTTCCAAGCTGATTAATGGATGCCACAGTATTACTGATGCAAAGAAATTGTGTACATCAAACCATTTAAGTTCCATTTATGAGGCACCCTTAAAGTCTATTTCCATTGATTGTCATGTTTATAAACATGTCGAGGCAGCCATCGATTCTTCTTCTTTGTTGAGGTTATCAGTTCCTGCAAAAAGCTCAGAGTAAAGAAGCGCGAAATTGCACGACGCATAGAGAAACTCGACGTGGTCCCATGCAAATCTTATTTGCATTTATCAGCACGCGTTCCTCCTCATCGCACAATCTACTTTACAGAAGCAACACATCATTCTATGTATCTAAATCGTATAAATGCTGAGAGAGACAAGTCACAAGTTCCACTTGTCTCGCCAAAAGTTAGGTTCTAAGCCGCGTCACAACCAGTTGACGATCGCGTAAGTGGCAAAGGCGATGTCCACATGCATGGATTCAGAGGATATAGCAACAAAGGGAAGAGATGTCACATGCCAAGGTAGGGGTTTTTTGATTCTGCAAACCCCGGTCGTCCTCAGCAACATGTATGCGGTGGTGGCGGGTGATGCCGGCCGGCCTTAGCCGAAAGGGAAAGGGATGTATAGGCTTCAGGCAATCCTCGCCGAAATGTGTAGAGAATCACATGGACTTACTACAGTGACATTTCTTATGGTGGACGGCAGGGGAATGCATGGGGCAACAACAGATGGTGAAGACTTTGTGCATGCAGCTCCTCCTCTCCACAGATCAGTAGATGGACCACCTCGGAGATGACCCCCTTGCGCTGCTCATGTGGGACGACTGTAGATGCTGCTGCTTGAGCATCTGTCGGCGGCAAGACATGCCCTGGAACTTGGATTCATACGGGGAAAGCTATGCCAAATCCTAATAAGCCTGCATTCCTATGGAGTTCAGTGATGTGTATATATTAATTTGAGTTACTTGATGACTCGGCAAATATGATCTCCTTCTCTAATTAGAATGAGACGAACTCAATTGACAGTGCAGCCTTAAGCATTTCACATTCCTGCAAGCAGAATTTTTCTTTCATGCAGGCAGTGATCAGACTCTACTGTCAGTCACGGGCAGATCCAGCTGAGAGAAAGAGGAGTACTCATTCATTCTGGGTTGCTGATTGATCACTTGTTAATATCTTGGTTCTTTGGATATTTAAGGGGTTGATTTAGGTATGGTGGCTGTGTTTGATGACTGAAGTTTTTGACACCCTGAAATCTATCAATTTAATTCTTTCTTCTTGTTTTCTAGTTTCTGTTTATAAATGAAAATTGTAAGTTTCTCCATGTTTAGTTCCAAAATTCAAGAAATACATCTTACAAAAATTGGAAATGCCATCATTTAGAGGTATTTTTGAGAAGGATAGAAAAGTTCCTTGATATTTGGCAAATTTACATTCTAGAAAATGTAATGGAAAGGATTTTGACTCCAATTACCCATCCATCAACTGAAAGACCTTCCAAAGAAGGATGAGATTAATGATCATGTTTTTACACATGACAGAAGGAAGTCCATTTTTCCCTGGTCACAATAGAGTCTAATGATATTTGATTAAAGACATATGGATACTGCAATTTTCATAGAGAAAAAACACAGCCTAGTCAACAAGATTGTATATATAACTTTATCACTACAAATAGAGTAAATATTTCAAGACTTATACCCCTTAATATAACAAATATATTTCTCAGGTGTTTCATTTTCTACTCATAAATAGGCTGCTGCAAGTGTAAACTATCTAAAATCTGGGTTTTTGACATCATCCTACATCAGCATTTATGAGAATTAACAAGTAATATCAGCATTCTTAGCTTTATCTGACATTTTTATGTGGTTTGGTTGGAGGAATCAAGTTGAAGGAAGCAAAGGTGAGAATCTTGACTCTCTTTACATAAAACCACACACAGATTTTGACTTCTGAAATGTTGGATTAATGCTGACAAACCTGTGTGTGGCACTTCTAGATGATGTTCTACTCTTGACAAACTAAGATATTGGAGATACAAAGTTCTCACTCATGCAGGATAAATGTGATGAACTCAACTCAATGCAAATTCTGATCCCCATTCACCATACACGAGAAACATTCTTGCAGAATGTGTCAGGTTGAGCATATATCCACTGCAACGCTTAGGTTCTTTATAGGTGATTAGGTTTTAGAGGAGCACAATTGGGTTTTCATATTTAGAACAATGTCCAACAATATTTAAGGACTGAATCATTCACTAAGGTTTCTTTCGGAATTAATGTCTACAATCATATACACAAGAAAACATGTTGTAAAGTTTAACCCATAGTTAGAATCCAATCAGAAAGTTAACCCCTTTGTAGGAAGAGAGATTTCGCGATATATGTTCCGATGAGAAAAACTTATGATCAGAAAAATATATTTTCTCCAAAAACAAAATATTCAATGAGAATGATAAATCCAAAAAAGCACATGCAAAATGTAGCTATTAGAGTTCAAAGATCAAAGACTGGCATACACTTGGACAGTCAATTACTGTGAGCAAATGGTTAAATTATGTTCCTGTAAACAATGGTGATTTAAGCATATTGTAATCTATAGTTCACTCATTTAGTAGATTCCAGGGAAGTGCTCCTTGAAAGGAATATGAGAAAAAGATGTACATCTGTTATGCAATTGAGAAACATAAATCAGATATCAGGTATTGCAACTGGCACTGCATTGCATCTTCTTATATTTCTTTAGATTGATTTCAATCACTTGCTATGCTTGAACATTAACCATCGAATTGTACCAATAATGATGCTATGGTAGCTGCATTGATCTCTTTGGAAGAAGAGGAAACTTACATCAATATTTCAATTCATAGTTATTATTTCCATCACCTTAGTCAACTCTTCACCTTAGTTATCCTTGGAAGAAGCAAAATATTAACTCATTAATTACATATATTCACCTTTTTTAATATTTCTTTTTAGAAAAAAATAATTAAATAATTCATTAGTGTGAATCACTTTAAGTACATTTCCCATTAATATTTCTGATTGGACTTAGCACAAACTGACATACTGACAGTGTAAATATACTAACTTGCCAATTGAACATGCATTTGAGAGCCAAGTGATATAAGAAGTTAAAAGAAGGAACAAGAAGACGACAAGCCAATGGTAGAAGAATATTGAGTTCTGGTGCAGTAATAATATTTCTGATGTTGTATATGTTGCAGGAGAGAGAGAAACTTTCTTTTTACCTTCATTTAAACTCTCGGAACTAATCGTGTGTCACAACATCAAATTAAGCCACCAATAAAGAGAGAGAGAGAGAGAGAGAGAGAGAGAGAGAGAGAGAGAGAGAGAGAGAGAAACTTTAAAGATATAATACTGCAAAAGCATTCCAATGTTCAAATGTCACGTGATATAGTCACATAAACGAAATACAAATAATCTTCCAATTGATTTCCTAATAACTTATCTTTATGTGAAGCACATACATGAACAAACTAATTCAATCAAAAGATTTATTAATCCATCCTCAGATGTGGCTCAGTACAGAGAAATTGAACTGAAATGGTACAGGTAATGAAGGAAGGGCATTAAGAACTATTTAGTGAAGGAGTTGACTTACATACCTTGTCACTGTCTTCAACATATATAAGACTATCATAACACACCATTGACTGCAGAAGGTACATTGAGCTCATGCATCTGGCCTTCTTTTCCTTCTTTCTCCAAGTAGAAGAAGCAGAAAAGATTTGAAAGAGATACGTATTCTCCGGTCACAAGATGCCCATAGTGCTTGGATGATGATGATGATGATAGCACACAGAAACTGGCATGGCATAGCCGGCAAAGTTGAAACCGGAGTGAATAGGAGTAAGGAACTGGGCGAAGAAGCTTGTTGGCTGCTTTGAGAAGATGAACCCAAATTAACCTGACATAAACAAAAGGATCCTTTGAAAGGACATAGTTAGACACTGCAATGAGTGATGTATAGGTCTGCCGCAATACTTTCCATGCTTCTACAAGCCGAGAAATTTATCTTAGATGACCTCACAGCTAATATACGTACAATTTTACCTCTGATCGACCCCTCTATTCCTCCATTCCTTCATATAAATATAGAGTAAATTGAGTCTCCATCTCAATTGCTAGGGAGGTAACCTCCTCTCTCTCTCTCTCTCTCTCTCTCTCTCTCTCTGTTCTTCCTCACAAGTCGAGATCCAACGATAAGCGATGATCGGTGATCGTTGATGACGGAGCTACCGAGGACTCGGTTCTGCCATGCGGAAGCGGGAGGAACTGAAGCGTAGAACTCGACTGCAGCTGAGGTGCACTCGCGGACGATAGCCCACTAGGGAGCTGGGCATTTCCTTTGGATTCGGGGCAATCGAGGTTCACACCGAACAGCCTCACACGCTTTGCTGAAGCCTGAGCCTGACTGCGGACGAGTGGCAGTGAGTTGAGAACCATCGGCTGGCCGCTGCGGCTGCCAGGTTGCACCCCGAACTGCGGTGGCCCTGCCGATGTAGATCCGACGAAAAGAAACTGACCGCCGCTACTGGTGCCTGAGCTCATGGGGCTGTAGCCGAAACCTGGACGGTGGTGGTCGTAAATGGCCGCCGGCGGGATGAAGAAACGGCTGACACCCCACGGTCCTAACGGCCGTGCCATGGATACCCCCGTGAGCGGAGCTCGTGGCGCCCGGGGTAGATCGTGGTTCTCCTGCCGCCGCTTCCAGTCGATGTAGAGATGGTCGCGTCCGGACTCGCCGACGCCACGGCCGAAGGAGACGACATCCCCGGCGTCGAGCCTCTTCTCCTTGACAAAACGGCTCCAGCCCTTGGTCATGACGTAGCTCTGGCTGCTGTTCCAGTAGGAGTAGCGGAAGCGCCACGACTTCCCCGTCCGGTCGTCGAAGCTCAGCAGCATCCCTTTCTCGTTGGCGGTTGGGTCAAGCGGGAAGTGCCTCTCGGCGTGCTGCTTGGGGATCACCAGCCGGTTCAGCTTACCGACGTCGCTTGGCGTGACTACCTTGTCGAACATGTGCTCTTTCTCCGTGAAGAAATTGCTCTCGTTGCCGCTATCACCGGCGGCGCCGTTGCCTGCCGTATCGGATGGACCAACATGCCATCCGAAGGCAGCGGATGTCGATGGCGAAGAAGAGGAAGAAGATAAAGGAATAAAGGAAGGATGTTGGGAGGCCTCTTCATGCTTTTCTTCCTCGGTCATGTAAAACCCATCGCTTCTTCTAGCTGTGAACTCCATCTGATATGTCTGAAGCCACAAAATCTCTCCTTAGGAACAGAATGAAACAGCAAATATTAGCTATACTAACTAGAATTCATCTGCCATGCCGATCATATCTTTTCTCTTGTGATATCTGTGGTCTATGGGAGGAGGAATCAAAGGGAGGTGGTTTGGCACTTTCAGCTTTGACTAAAGAGAACGGCAGTAGGGATTAGGCAGGTTTGGAGAGGTTGATGCATGAGATATTGTGTGTGTGTTGGCTTGGCTATGTGGGCTGTTTGTTTCTACCTCCCTACCGACTGCCTTAGAAGGTTCCCATAAGAAGGGTGAGATAGGGCATTTTGGCATCCAGTGAACCAAAAGGGAAGTTGGAGAGAAGCACAGGGACAATGGAGATATCAGACAGGAGGAGAGAAGGGAAAGGTAAGATAGTAATAATAGCTTTATAAGGGTAAGGGGAGAGAGAGAGAGAGAGAGAGAGAGAGAGAGAGAGAGAGAGAGAGGAAGGGTAGGGGGAGGGGCCCATGAATTTTCTGGTAGAGTTCATGTGAGCATGTCCTTGTCATCTCAGGGTTTGCATTCAGATACATGGCTAGTGATATTCCCCGAAACATAGCAAGTTGCTCTGCATATCCAGCAGCCCCATAGCTTGATTTGCCATTGTGTTTCGAAACCATCCACTCTTGTACATCATGCATGCAGTGAATACATTCGATATAACATCAATCTTTTGTGTTATTATCTCTTCTTCAGGTTAAGTTAGTATGTGAACAGTAGTACAATACGGGCCAACGGTGGTGAAGGGAGAAAAGGCTCGGAGTGGGTGGAGATGGGGAGTGCTTTGACTTCTGGGGGGTGTACTATTGGGGTTTACAGGAGTCTATCAGTGGAGGAGAAAAGATAAGAAGAATAAGACATGGGAGTATCTCTCTTCCTCCCGACGCCCTGACTTCCTCCTTCGGTGAAGAGAAAAACATGCTCTTGATATATAGAGTTGTGATGTAATGATCTAACCATGTGTTTTGTATGTCATCCAACAAAGATCAGAATTGGTAGTCCAGTTCAACAAAAGAAGATGATTCGCCATGCGAGTGTGAAGGTCACAAGCTGCTATGTCAATACAAACCCTCGTTTTGCTGAAGTAGAGCAAAGACAAGCTTTCTGGTTCCCAATCAGCATGGGTTTGACACAAGAAGTAAAACGAGTCAGCTTTTGTCGCTCTCTCTCTCTCTTTCTATGTCAGCGAAGAACGAGTGTGCAACACACTTAATGTTCCTATGGCTGCTAAGTAGGTCAGCTAAAGAGAGCTGGCGAGATCTTGAAGGCGGCCTCTGCAACAGTAACATTGTTAAAAGGGATGTCGAGGTTGCTCTAACATGCAACACACGCAGGTGATGACTAAGTTGAACGTACAATTAAAGCCCCAAGAAAGGGTTCCATTTACAGGTGATCGCAGGGAGTTATTCCATCATGGAGGCAAGTCTACAAAACTTGTTCTAGGCCGACTGGACTGAAGAACAGTGTAGTAGCAGGAAAGCAGAACTCTGATGACTGCATTCCCTGGTAGAATTTGGGAAGTTGAAGGCTGCTTGAAGGAGACTTGAAGACTTGGGTTATGACAAGTGCATCTGGGAAGATGCAGATAAGAACACATGATCACTATTGTGTGCACCATATAACTATGACACTAAACATTGAACAGTGAGAACTCAAAAGGACAAATGATGCAACCTCAAAGAGAATGGTAAGTTCAGGAATAGATCTCAAAATATTATTGCCTATATCATTCTTGATCACTATTTTGAGAATAACTCTTTAGACAAATAAAATTAGCACAAATTAAATTAAAAGAACAAAAGGAGACTAACATCTACTTTTTTTTCTTTTGCCTCTAACATGACAAGCTACAGTGTCTATAAGATATACAAATCTCATTAATTGTTTACAATTTCCCTTAAATAAATTTAAAATTAAGGAGAAAATACTAAAAAAAAAACCCTCCTAAAGGAGGAAGGATGAACACATTCTGACGAAAAGCTCAAGGTTAGTATTCTATCAAACAACAAAAACTCTCTTTAGCTCATAGTTGTGATAATGAGAATATGAACATACCTTTAAGAATAAACATAAAAATAATCTAAACAGGACCTGAAACCTCTCCTCTATATGGTGTCTGTTCCCGTAGGGGAGCCCCATCCTTTGATGTTGTGGGCATACATCAACCTTGGAGGTGCTTGTGAAGAGATCCATGCATTAACTTTGGAGTCTTCTTGTGCAGGAGAGAAGCTGTGTTTGGAGATTGTTAGATGAGAAAAGCCTAGACATGGAAGCGCACTCCACCTTCCGCTCAGCCATGGAGAATGTTGGGTCAAAGATTCCACACTGTAGGATTCCAAAGCATAGTGGGAGATCCACATAACATGATATAGAATGCATGCCAGAGGTATAATTCAACTTCATATTCATCACTAGTGATTTGCATGCCTTCGCAGTAGAGCTCATATCATGATGATAGTTTCCATTAACAATTCAGCTCAAAACCCACATGGTAGACTCATGAATCAGTCTGCATAAATCACAGGAACTCATATAGATAAAAGCTCTCTTCAAGATTGAACTTGACAAACATGTAGTGTAAGTGATGAATGCTACAAAAGAACATTCGCATAATCGAGGAAGGTGATTTCCAAGAGGTAACTCGATAAAAGCTTAATCTTATGTGAACAGAAGAAAGTGGCTAATGCTTCTTTTGCAACTGAGAACTCACTGTCACACATTATTATTGTGCACCATTTTTATTATAAAAGAACATAATTCTTTTTTTCCTTAATAAGTTTGTAATACACAATTTGACATCTTATGTGAACAATTTTGATCGGATAGCTCAGTTTTGTTGATGTACTACATTACAAAGGAAAAACTCTTTTAAGTTTACAAGCGCAAGTATTATTACAAATAAGAGACCAATTAAAATACATACGTGATATATAAAAGAGGAATATTGGTGATATAGATGAACGTACGTAGGACGGTGTCCCAGGGATTCCAGTTGCTGATCAATGCAGAAAACATAGGACGACGGTGTGGCAGAGATCCCGAGGAAAAGAAAGATTGGTTGAAAGATCCAACGCTGAGCATCATCATATTTACTTATATATGTGCATATACTCGGATAGAGTGCCGAGGAAGGCATGCATGTGAGGATGCAAAGTAGAGGGCAACTGATTCTTAATGAAGAGAGCAGACTTGTGTCCCAACCCAAATAGAAATCTCACGTAGCATTACAGCCCCCAAAATGGCCCCTCCCTATCATTAAATAACACCCAACTTTCTTCCCCAAACCTCTCACCATCCACCTTTCCTGAGCTACTGTACCGCTCCCCGTGCCCAGAGCTCATATATAGCACTGTAGGAATATGTTCTGAATCTTAAAGCAGCAAATTGGAAGGCACCGCTGTTCATAGAGACAGTGACCGCTCCGGAAGGAGACTGCAGCGGCCGACATGAGCCGTCCGATTAGAGGTCACCGTGATTTGTGCCTCTGGCGATGGAGGCTCCTGTGACTCACAAGGAACCCTAACTTAATGGAGGGGGACCGTTCCCGGAAGGTGACAGCCAAAATGGAGCTAGTAAACGATGGCACAGTGCACATCTCTTGTCAGCTAGGGGGAGCACTGATGAGTGTAACCCAGTTGGGGTGAGAGGGAGTGAGAGCTGTGGACCATCAATCATAGCTAGAGAGGTGTGAGATACATGTGACTACTGTCTCCTTATAACCCTAACAGTAGAAAGGGTAATGAGGGCAGGCATCCACCATGTGGGTTGTGGTGCAATGCCACTTGGAAGCACCCCATCCTCTCCTATGTGGAACAGACAAGACTGCCAAGCTCATTAACACTGCTCTAGTAGATGCACATATTATGATCATGTAAGGTGGTGTGGCCGCTGCTAGCTCAGCCTATAAAGAAGTGAGACGAGAAGAAGGGAGAGGGAGGGGCTTTTAAGGTCAGTGGGGGCATGGCCCTGAAGATGAAAGGCTGGCTCATGGGGACCTCTCTCCAGCCATGACCATCGCACTCTCCCGCTCATTACACTCATTCATCAACCTAATAGCTGCATCATCAAGAGGTATTAGGCACAGTAAGCAGAACAAGATGGGCGTAGCAAGGACCACAACTATCTGAGCGTTCCTTCAGTCTCCTCCTGCGCTCTGACATGGCCTCCAGCCCTCTTTATTTCCCTGCTTCCCTCTCCATTGACCAAAAGGCCTAAAACCCTAATGAGCTCACCGGATTTAGGTGGCAAGGAAGCAATCAAAGTCAACCTTTACGATCGCTACCCGCTACTACCACTTCCTCCCTCCTCTTCTTCCTTCGCCTGGTTAGTTATGGTTACGGCAACCTATACGTGAAGTGTCTGCCCTTCCTGGCTTGCCGCAATGTGCACATCTCCACCATTTACCCTTCACATGTCTATCGATGGGTGCATGAATGGGTACAGCCAGAAGCACAGGACAACAAAAGCGGCTTACTAGATTCATGCCCACCGGGATAAAAGATAATATAAACTATAATTCCGGGCAGCTTCCGACGCCTACTTCCCCCCCTGCAGCCCTGATTGAAACCGTTGAGCTTCCCCCTGTTCGGTCGCTTTCTCCCTGCCTTCATAAGACAGGATATGTGAGAGAGAGAGAGAGGAGAGAGAGAGAGAGCATTAAAATACTTTTTACTGCTTGGTGAGAGTCTATACCTTCTGCAAGTAACATGCTTCTTGTCTATTCTCATACATGCTGTTAGGTTCTGGAAGCGAAGCACAAGGAGCTGCTGCTGTTACTGCTGCACTGCCGCTTCTGCTGCCGCTGCTACGTGCCTAAAAGCAAAGAAGAATACTGAGGTGACACCGTGCCGGTGGCGACGCGCTCCGTTCATTTAATGACCACTTAAACGGCTTGCGGCCGCTGGGCTTGGGCTTCTCAGGAACTCCACTTTTAGAGCGATCAGCAGGAAAGCGGTCGCATTAATTATGTAGTCGAACTCGAATGTCACATATGGTAGTCATATATTACACACACACACACAATGGAATTGGAAAGCTCAAAGTTCTCTATATTACAGTTATTATTAGATATGTTTGAACACTTCTGCTGCGCACTCAGAATATGTCACAGTTGTCTAACGCAGGACAGCATTGTTCCGAGTTCTTTTTCCTTTCTTCTTATATTTGTTTCCGAAAGAGTGAGAACAAGTATGCTATTGCTGCTACAGCTTATCAAGAAACTCGTTCCAAATGGTAATTTCATTGATCGGTTTAATACTAGGTTAGAAATATTGCATCACCTGCTGGCAGAGGAATGCCTCGTACAGAGAACATCGTAAGCGAAAATTTTGTCGTTCGAGCAAAAGAGGTGTAGGTTGCAGTGGTAACAATTCATGTCCTATTGTGATTAGCACGATCGAGCTTTATCGTAACATACAACTGATACCTGCGGCAAGAGGACAATGTTAAAAGGTTAGAACGATTACTTGCCCTGATTCTAATCTGACTTTATAATCATATTATTGCTAAATCATAGTTCCAATATCATACCGCGAAAATAAGATACATGGGCATTTCTTCACACTGATGGAACTACACAGATCCAGCTTTTTTAGAACAAGATTAAGAATTTGTGTCTTTTAGTAGCTGAGACTGATGGATCGATGCAAAGAGTGACTGAAACTAGTCAACACTCTACAGGCTGCAGTAAAAAATGGGAAACCCTTAGGAAAATAATTGTTGAGAGCTAGCAGTTCCACATGATGCTGAATACCCAAGAATGCTGGTTCTTGCACAAGTTGTAGACCAGCCATCTAGCTTGACATCCATACGAAATGTATAATCTACAAAACAGTAATTTCATTCGATGATAGTTTTATCGGAACCAGAACCGCTAATTCAACTTGTATATGTACATGTTATTAGATAGCAAAACAACATAAATCAAGCACTCTGATGGACTACAAGTATTATGAGATATATGAACATAGTTATGTTAGGAAACTATAATTTTCTCGGATGGAATCATTTGATAATCTTTTAGTCATCTCACATCTACTACCAGCAGTAATAAGGAGACAAACCAGTAACATAGCCTTTTCTGTTCATGAAAGAATGTAAGACCTACAGTCGAGTTTCCATCAGCAGTCCATCCCACCTATTGAGGTATATGTCGCATTCTAAAACCACAAAATCTTCAATGCATCATTTATAAATGAACACAGAGAATGTTCGAACACAATTCATCTACAGTCCGTTCCACCTTTAGCATGCTCATGATTGATTCATCAATGACCTAAGCTCATTCGAACAGAATTCTGTTTCCCTATAAATGATATCACCTATTCCTGAACCCCAACTCCCAAATCACAGTCTTGTATTCCCAATTTCCCTGTTACTGTCAAGAGAAGAGAAGCATGACAGGAGAGCAGACAACAGGAAACACAAGAAGAAGATGGAAGATAGAATAGAGGAAAACAGGCTTCAAGTGAAAACAATAAATTTCTTCCATGAAGTTTCATCCTACATCAGTTTGGGCCGAGAACTCTATACAAACAAAATAACATACCCAATTGCCAATCCTTCCAAAGTGAAAAAAAGAAAATTTTCATTGTTCATGAATGTTACTGTGACATGAATTCTTCAAACAGTATTTAATATACACCTCAATTAATCTATAACCTATTCAGCGAAAAGTACTAGCAAATATGGACTCTAAAAGAAACAAAACATTTAATTAATCCTCATCTAATCAAGAAATTTGAAAAAATGTCCTACCAAATCTACAAGTACCAGCAGGAATGCCAATGGATCCAAAACCAATGAATCAATTCTGTAAGTATCAACCCAGACCTAACAAAACAAATCCCAGAAATTAGGATCATTTGACACCCCATAACTGATGGAGATAAATTCAAATGAGAACACATCGACCTCTCAAAAATAAGACCAAAATTAAGAATGAAGGTCCCAAATTATCTTACCAAATGTACTTAGACCTAACAAGACCTCAACCAAGACGCAACATCATCCCTCCTGCATCATGCAACTTATATTCTTATCACAAATAGCTTATTCTTCAACTAGTAATCCATGTTTATTATATATTTTTTATTACATACATGTATTCTAATCCCATTTTCATGTACAATTTATCGTTCTGTTACCTGTATATACATATTTTTATTGGTTCTCCTGGTGGTCAAAATTCCCAACTAGAAGTTTCAAGTACCGAAGCCACAATTAGATGAGTAAATGTCACGTTTGTTCTTGTTGTACGACTGATAATTTAGTAGAACAAATGGAGGACGCAGAATGTCAAAACAGTTTGATGAGCACGATGCAATTCAACCAAATTCCAGAAACCCCCAAACCCTAATACACTATAACAGGCAACTACATAACAGACGAGGACCGTGCGATTCGTGTGAAGAAGCTGGTTCCTGCGAGAGAGGTGTGGGCAAGAAAGACTCACATCTGCAGCCGCGACAAGGGTTTTCCAACAACCTCATCCAAGAAGGCGGTCGGCGAAACGTCAGATCCCCGGGAGGCGGCGGTGGAGGAAGCCGGCCGATCGTCCGTCGAGCGAAACATCGTTCGCTTCCTCCGCTAACTCACCAAAACTAAATCTTTCGTATGCCTATCAAAACGTCCCTAATCACATCTTCGGTCTTTCTCATTTGCGACGCGCCAATTTGCATAATAGTCCAAATCTTTCTTTATTTTCATATCGGTCCACAAAGTTGACCCTTTTTTTCAAGAACCCGAATCCGAATCCGAACCCGAACGATGGAGTCCTCCCAAGTGCTTCTCCCTAGAGAAGTAGCCAATGCATATGCTTCAGATCTATGAAGCTTATTCATATGTTCATTATTCTGTACATTGTTTGTCCGGTATGAGTCTACAGGGGGAACAGCTTCTTCCATGACAGTCTCAATCTGTGGCCTTTTGCAGCAGCGAGACGTGAAGCCTTTGCCACCGCCATCTCATCCTCGACCTTGCCCTCGGCTGCCTCCGGCTCTGCCTGTTCCCAGAATCGAGCCTCCCTTCTCTTCTTCCGGATTGTGGCGAGCACGTCGTCTTTGTTGCATATCCCCCACACCGTCACCTTCTGCATCTTATAATCGACATGCACCGAGTGGATCCCTGCTTGCATGATTACAATAAGTCCAACACCTTGTGATGTTCTTACTCTTGGGGGCAAAGAGAAATAATGCCGGTCTCATACCTCTCCGATGAGACAGTGCCTTCTTAACCTTCTTCTCGCACCCATACGAGTAGAGAGGCACCTTCATCTCCACGTACTGGGCCTCTACGTTCTTTCCTGCCGGCACAATCTGCAAGTTAGCCATTGATCTTGTCACCTCTTGGGTCTACATGAGAGGTATATATATAAGCACAAAGCTGAAGCGGATTACATACCCTACAAAGAAGAAGACAAGGGTACGCAGGCTTGCGTGGCTTGTGTGCGGCTCCGTCTTCCTTTTTCCCTCTCTGCTTTGCTCTTTAAACTCGCTTTTGCTGCTCCATTGCTGAAGGTGAAGGTTTAGTTGTGGTGGTTTGGACGTGATGGTTAGCGAGATTCCTGTGGTTTGTGTTAGCTTTAGAGGCTGCAGGGACTTCTTAATCCAAAGACTACGCAAGTATGCCATCATTTGGATGACTGGTTTAGGGCTTTGATGTGCTTTGCTGACAGGAAAAGGGTCGTGGCTGCCATGTGAGGATGGTGTGGAAAGTGGTTCTTGCCTTGGAAAGTCGGGAAGAAGGGTGTGGTGGCGGAGTAGACTTCGCAAGTGCTCAGCCATGTGGGCTGCTCTCAGTTGGTCAGCAGTATTTGTCAACGACGGCGACTGGGGGCTCCAAAACCTACCGCCGAGGAAGATGATCAGAATAACGTGATGGTAGAATGTAGCGATATCAAAGATAAAAGAATTGTATGCAATATAGAGTTTCATCACAATAGTATTAAAAGCACAAGTAGCAAAGACGAGATCGATGTTCGAGATAATAGTATCAAACAATCAGAGAAGAAATCCAAATAATTCATCTCTAACTTTACATAATTAATGGCTTTCTTTTCCAAAAAAATAAAAAGATGATTTTATATCTATGGTTTCGGGGCATATGAATCCATTCTAAATCGCCCTTACCCCCATCTGTTCCATCGCTCATCACAGTTCATATCAATGATCAGCAGGTGTTTGACATAAGCACAGGCAACTACACCATCTCATCCGCACAAGAGCTTGGGGCAGAAGGGACATGGTAGACACACACAGCTTGTAGAGTCGGGGACATTTTTCTTGAGCATGCATGCATCTAATAATGCATTATGTCCTCGTCAATGGCATAAGGAAAAGAAAGACAAGAGATCGCCTTGTCCTTTTGCTTTTGGGAGCTCCTTCCACCGAAAGATGAAACCTGTTGAACCGCCCCATCACAATGATATCTCATCGTCTTGCAGAAAGCCCGATGCTTTCTTGGTCTTTCCAACACAGTCATTTCTCCATTATTAATTACCATATTGCAGTCAAAGAGTTCTAAGACTTTTTGGCCTTCACATTGTGCCATGTCTGAATCACCCAGAATTGTGTTATTTCTTCTGGAGTTACATAAGGCCTCGAGGCTTTATACATTGAGATCAAACATGAACGGGAAGATGGGTTTAGAGACACTCCAAGAAGCTGTGGAATATCTTGTCTTGTGCTTGAAAGCAAGCCAAAGAGAATACTTTAAGCTCCATATTTAATTGAGGTAAGTTTGCTGACCAATTCCCATGTCAGATGACTTGTGTCCACTTCCATCTCTATTCCAATCCTTAGGATCAAAGGAATCCCTTTACCTTAGCCTTCATGTTCTTTGCCTGTCATCGAATCTAAGCCTCATCATATTCACATGGCACTATGAACAATCATTTGGACCCCCATAAACTACATCCTTAATCATGCCTTGCTCTGCATCCTGATTGGTCCAGCTTGCTAACAAGAACATAAGATGAAGCATTAGTTTCCAATATTTATATGTCTTTTTGTTCACCAATTTCACAAGTAATTATGGACCAATTCATCTTTGTCCAACTTTGCATATGATCCACAGAACTTTTGCCTTGCTACCCATGTGATCCCCTCTTCCTTCTTTCTGATGCATGATGGATTCTTCTGGTCCCACTAAAATCCTCATCACTTTCTCCTATCTCACTTTTCACCAAAAATTATGGAGACAGGAGGAAGAAAAGGTTATATGTACATATCAAGTCCCTCTTGAACAAGTTCATTGATTAGCTAATGGTTTAGTTTGCTCATGTTGTCAATATAACCCTCTGCTTTTGCCACCCACCTACTCTGTCTATAAATCTCCCTATCCCTACTCTCCTTCATCCCCTCATCCTCTCCTCCACTCATTTCTTGTGAAGTGAAACATGAAATAAATCAAAAAGTTCAGTATTAGAGTTAAACAAGTCCCAAGCTCCTTCACCTAGCTACCTTGCTTGAGTGCCATTGTATGTGCTTAGCAAAGTTACATTATAGCTCTAGCTTCTCCCTTTGTTGTATATATAAGAAGTTATGCTTATTTGACCCTTCCTCCCTCCTTGCTTGGCTGGCTTCCTTTCTCTTTCCTGCCGCAGTCTTGAACTTGTTGGTTCCAGAATGGGTGAAGCAAAGCAGGTAAAGCAGTTCTTTGAGGTTTTCTGGGCATTCAACCTCTCATAGAAGAGAATTTTCTCAGCTCTAGAATGCAGCTTAATCTGTCTATATTACTTGCGTATCTGACAGGAAGCAGAGGCCAAACAAGAAGAGAAGAAGGTAGAGAAGCAGGAGGAGGAGAAGAAAGAGGAGAAGGCAGAAGAAAAGAAAGAGGAGGCAAAGCCATCGCCTCCTCAACCCATTGTCTTGTCTGTGGCCTTGCACTGTGTTGGATGTGCCAAGAAGATCAAGAAGTCCATCCTCAAATGCAGAGGTTCTCCACACACTCATTTCTGACACTGTTATTACTCGTTACCAGCTTCTCTAAGTTGATCGGTGATTCTCCACATCAGGTGTGGAAAGTGTTGAGGTGGACATGAAGCAAAACCAGGTCACAGTCAAAGGGGTAGTGGACCCTCAGGTCCTGTGCTCCAGGATACAAGAGAGAACGACGAGGAAAGCCATAGTCCTCTCTCCATTGCCCCCAGCCGAAGGGGACTCCAAACCAGAAGCTGTTCCATCCCAGGTAAAATGCACTGCAAGATCTTACCATCGAAATGCCTACCATCGAATGATTGATTACTGTAAGTCGTTGAAACAGGTGAGCGGGATGGCAACAGTTGAGCTCCTCGTGAACATGCACTGCGAGGCGTGTGCAGAGCAGCTGAAGAGAAGGATACTCAAGATGCGAGGTAATATCTCTCTGCTCTCTGCTCTATGCTTCGCCCAGTCTCTGGCCTTTCTCCAGTCCTCATGATCCACGTTGAACTGATCGCAATCTGAATCTGATCATCCAGGGGTGCAAACGGCAGACACCGACTTGAGCACCGGGAAGGTCACGGTGACCGGAACGATGGATGGAGAAAAGCTTGTGGAGTACATCAGTCGACGGACCGGCAAGCTCGCCAGCATTATTCCTCAGCCACCCAAGGAGGAGGGAAAAGAAGAGGCAGAAAAGAAACCCGAGGAGGAGAAGCCTGCAGAAGAGAAGAAAGAGGATAAGAAGGAAGACGAGAAGGCTCCCCAACCAGAAGATGGTGCAGGTGGCAACAAGGAAGGCGACGGTAAGGAAGAGAAGGGAGGTGGCGAGGAGCAGAAGAAAGAAGGAGAGGGAGTGGCCAACGATAACGCTAACGTCGTCGGCCAAGAAGAAGAAGACATGATGAAGAAGATGATATATTGGAATGGCAGCATCACCGGGGAGGACGAGATGGCGCGGAGGATGCTGCATTATATGCCGGTGTACGTGATCCAGCAGCCTCCGCCACCACCCCAGTTCTTCAGTGATGAGAACCCTAATGCTTGTTGCATCTCATGAAGCTCTCTCTCTCTCTCCATCACCAAAAATGATATCTGTATGTAATATGAAGAATAATGTGGCACTGATTGCTTTGCGTTGGCTGCCACACAATACCAAATCTAAGTCTTTCTTTGCTCATTGATGAATGTGTTCCTTTTTTTGGTGATGTAAAATCGCTGACTTTGTCTGTAGTCGCATAATTTAGAGGTAGATACAATGATTTGATTCCACCATACTTTTGGTGGTTGTGGTGTTGCATTGACAAGCAATGTCAGGATCATGAGAGGATACCAGATAGCCAGTGTCATCAAGGTGGTGCATTGCATGTCGGCAGATGGTGGCAAATGTGGGCAGAAACAGAGTGTGTGGAGTATGTGTGTGTGTGTGTGTGTGTTGCTGTTGCTGGTGGCAGTCCACATGGTGATAGAAGCTTGAGAAAGCATACAGAGAGAGAGAGAGAGAGAGAGAGAGAGAGAGAGGGTAGGGGAGGACTCCAACCCAATCCTGGCTTCATGTGTGCATATGGTACATGGGTATGTCATCTTCCCCAATCCTGACATCCATGATAGCAAACAACAATATAATTCATTGGAGACCCTACACAGTTCTTCCCTTGTCCAGGGTGGCTGGCTTGAAGAAATTGTGTTGATAGATTTATAATGTTTAAAGTCATACAGAAATCGAGGGAATTGAAAGCTATGTTTAAGGATCTAAGAAACCCCAAAAATTCTGATATGAGGCAGCAACTTATTGATAGTAAGAAAAAACTGGAAGCTGACACACATGATTATTCAGCAACAGTGGAACAGTTAAGCAGAAAAGTGTCTTCAGATCAATTCCAGGCTGAAGAAAGTTTCTACTAAAAAGGAGTCACAGATGAGCTGACTTCCACAGGGGGATGGATTACTTTCTTCATGAATTCAAAACTTGCAATATCCACAATGCCTAAATTTGCTGCAGAAGGTAGCTTTTTCTTTCTTTACAGATCCAATTTGGAATGACAATGCTGAAACAGGATCTAGTAATGGTGAGAAGTTGCATCTGTTGTGCTCAAACAAGCCATGGTCTCTGTAAATGGGAACAAGAATGTAGACAACAGACTAAAAAATAGCTGAAAAGATACTTCCTTGTCCAATAATTGGTATTGTAGATGCTCATTGGAGGTTGATGTACAAAAAGCTTTTGTTTCTGTTTGTTAAGGATTCATCAAAACAGTGCTTGAAACCATGGGGTTTCCTAGCCAAATCATCCTTTAAAATTTCAGCTGCATTAATTCTCCAATGTACTTTCTTCAGATTAATGGATTTGAGTAAAATTACTTCCCTAGTATGATAGGATGAGTCAAAATATCACATGTCACCCCATCAGTTTATTATCACCATGTAGTCAAGTTCTCCTGCAGGTTAAAACACATTGCGGAAGATAAAAGTTGGGTTTAAACAAAGATCACTCATGCACATAATATTCGCAGACAACCCATGTAAAATTTTGTGACAGCAACTTAACTCTATCAATCTAAATTAGAAGCCACTGGAGTATTTATACCAAACTTCAAAATCATCAGAAAAATCTAACACAAGTAATGCATCTTTTGGAGCCTTAAACTTGAAATCAGAAAGCTGTCATTCTTTCTACACTCCCAACTTCAACAAGGCAAACTGTCAATGAGTTCAGTTCCAACCAAGTGCAATCAACTGCAAATCATGGATGGTAGAAAATACAAGCGGAGTTCAGTGATGGATCACTAAGCAGAGTTCAAGAGTCAGTTGCCAGAAAATTGTATTGTGCAAGGATCATGGAAGATACTCTAATACACAGACAATGCAACAAGGGAACAAAATAAACTAGTTAAAGTGATAATTCCCCATAAACAAATAGGGTGCACAAGGAGATGAGGGCAATTCTCCTCAAGAGTAAATGACACTAGTTGTTTGTAATATTATGTAGAGCACCTCATAGCATAGTAGTAGAGCATATCCAGAGAATCCAGGAATTTAGCATTAGCAGCAAAATAGCCAATTCGGGTGTATATTAACAGCATACAAATGCTAGAAAGTAGTTCTTGAAATGGCCTGCTAAGCTTAATTACAAAAGCAATAAAATTCAGTATGGCACCAGTAAAGCCAAGGGAGAGTTTCTGTTCAAAGATGCCCAGAAGATATGTGCAGGAAGGCAACAATATTTACAAAGTCAAGAACTGATTCTGTGAAGTGAATTACGTTCATATGCACACATCACGACCTTAGGCACCAATTTAGTCCTAGTATTAAGAATAAAAGTATTACCGACAGAATCAAAATTATTCTAACACTAAAGTGTGAACCATCTTTACTCGCCATTGCATCCAAAGACTGGCTGCTGATTCTGTCATCATCCTTATGCTTCCATCGTGTTCTCAAACTTGATTTAGGATTAAAATCATTGATCCTGGATTCTTGTGCTGGAGTGTAACACTTTCTTTCATATATCTCAAGAGAAGAGGACTTTATCTCTGTAGAGTTTGCATCAACAGCATGACAATCAACAATAATCAATAGGTCAGTATATCACTTGTTATACAACAACAACAAATTTTAATGTCCTAATTATTAAGTGTCAACTATATTATCTTATTAGTAGTGCTGAAATCGGTATTTCAACATAATTTTAAACCTTATTAAGGCACATGAAATATTTGAACAACTTAACATCTATATTCAATATTTTCAAAATTTGCAGGGTCCCAAATGAAATTACCCACGATAGAAGTACTCTAATAGAGAATTTTGGTAGTATATTAACCCTGAGTGGATAATTAGTCCAACAATGGGGCTTACAAAACTATATATCGTGCATGGGACTTACAAAACTATATATCGTGCCAAGTCAACAACTCAGTTTAGTTTAAACTGAAGCATATCCGCATAAAAAACTCAGTTTAGTTTAGACTGAACCATATCAGCATCGAACTGATTAAGTTGAGCTCTAACAATGTGTACAGTTTCAGTGATCAAAATATTTTAGTTGCAGCATAGTTTGCTGTTAATTACCATGAGAAGAAAAGCCCTCTGAAGTGGTACTGGCAATACGACTAAAAACAGGTTGTTCTTCACTGAATTGATGCTTCAAAATTTCTCGAACCTGTAGGCATTATCCCAAGGTTAGGGACTATTAAAACTAAATATCTATAAGTTCAATATAAACAACAAAAATTGTTATAATATAGACTTAATATATTTGGTTAATCTTAATATCAGGTGAATGGTATCATTTACTTCAAAAGAAGAGCAAAACATCACACCTCATTGGCAGCTGATTTCATCACATCATTTCTGGTGCTTAATACTTGATCAGTGCTGGGAACAGATCCTTTACGAACAAACTTTTGCAAACGCAACCGTCTCATCAGCAGGCTTTGTGGTTCAATCAAGCAATCTAACTCTTGTAAATTATTATGAGTGCTGATCTGGATTCCAGCCTTGTCACAGTTGCTCATCCTGGCCGTTTCTTGATGCAAGGCACTTGCAGAGTCCATTAAGGAAACATTTTGGCTCAAATTGTGATTAGGAAACACCAAAATCCTGTGCTGTCTTGTAGGAACAATACAACTATTCTTCTGTGACAAGGTGCTCGAACAAACAGGAAGCTTGTAGATTTCACCAGAAAATCCTATGCTGTCCTGAGGGACACAATAAACAACAAAAATTAGAATTTTGGCAATTCGGTAACTGTAATTGCTTTATCATATATGTTCATGCAAATCAACAGATTTTGCAAACTAGTAGTAATGCCTACAATGTTTTTCAGAAAATGTGTTGGGAAAAAAATGTCTCACATCTAAGACAGTAGCTTTATCATCTTTGTCACTGCCTCTCTTGCTCTTTTTGCCTGATAGGGAGTCCCAGGGGGTTTCATCTGTGCTGACACAAATCTGACCTTGTGGCTCAAACTCAGTATTTAGACTTCTACAGACATATGATACTTCAGGGGAACATTCATATGGATCACAAAGCACTGCATCTAAGAACTCGGTGACAGAGTCGTCTTCAACGCTGTCACATTGATTGAGGCCTGACGAAAATTCCCAGTCAACTCCAGCATCAAATGCATGCCCCGTGTAAGTTATTCTTGGGGAATTGGAATGGTAATCAAATTCTGGAAATTCCTGGTCAACTCCACCAAGCTTGTCAAAGTCTGGGTTAAGATATTGTGGTAAATCATCCAGGCGAAGACCAAACTGATTTCGCATGCAAGAAATAAGAAGGCAAGTTAATATTCACTTGATCAAATTCGAACATATAACAAATGGGTAAATTAGGCCTCTGAACTTCATTTTTAGTAATTGAATACCAAGATCCGTTCATGTCCACGATGACTTACCTCATTTCCCACAAGGGTTTCACAAGGAGGATCTGAAACAACAGTTTCACTGCAGTGGCTCTCTTCTAGCAACTCGTGGACACCCGATGATTGCATATCAGAGGTCGGAGGCAAAGGCTGTAAATTTTCTTGCAAATATGACCCCGGAAGCTTGTGATCCAATGGTGAAACAACTTCCACTGTTGCTTCTACTCCTTGCTGCATCTCAACTGGTGAAAGCATGCCTGGAGCAGGAGCAGGAGCAGGAGAGGGGTCACCACTCTCCATCTCACCAACATTTCCCTCCGTGCAATCATCAATATCAGAAATTTGGGTCTTCTCTTCAGGCTTCTTGAACAAACGACAGAGAACGAAGCCACCCTGCACAGGATTGGATAAGAAATGAAACAAGAGCACAAGCCTAAAAGAATATAAAGAATCACAAAAGAAACGTAGCCAATGTATCCTTCAAGAAACTAATACGTAGGGGCACAAATTAACCATAAAAATTTTCAGAGGTACACTTCTCTTAGTTCTTATGCACAAGAAACTCTCACTCATATTAACCCATGTCACACATCAACCAATTACTTCACAATCAAGACATCTTAAACCACCAGGAACGAGTGGTGGAACATAAAGAAGCCATTCAAATTGCAGATGCTCCAGTGGGATATGATGCATGGAAAGCAACTAAATAGACAAACCTTAAACAAGGTCAGAATAAGTGCGTAAATCTAGTCAGCTTTAGAATGATTCACCAGAAACAAGAATCAAAGAAACTGGAAAAACGTTCTTAATAAACCATCAAAAAGAAAAAGAAGAAACTCGCCTGCTCTCCTGAGTCAAACTCCTTCTCGGTGGTGCGGTACTCGTGCATGACCCAAGTAGTGCGGACGCCGCTGGGGGCACGGCCTTGGTAAAATACAAGGGTCTTCTTAGTGCCTATGATTGTAGGAACCCGAGATATGGACCTGATCATCCGATCCTTCCCTGTGGCTTTCCAGTAGCCAGCCTTCGTAGCTCGGTTGGAACGGTTGCCGTTGGGATATTTCCGGTCCTTCGGCGAGAAGAAGAACCACTCCGAATCGCTCGATTTGATCAATGATATATCTGGAAACTATACTGTTAGAGATGGGAAACAAAGAATTGACTGTAGCGCGAAACGCAGGATCGAAAATTTCAACACACATCTGTAAGGTCCGCACCGAAAATCTAATTTTTGCTAAAGAAAATGGGGAAAACAAACACTGAACACAAATCACAGACAAAAAAGAGGTTTTAACAACAAGAACCTGAATTAAACCAAGGAGGAGAGGGAGTAAGTAAGATTTGGGTGCGTGAGGATCACCCGGAAGGTCCCACGGCTCGCACTTGCAGATATCTATCTCGGAGATGACCTCGTCCTCGGACTTGATCCGGCCAGTGATCTTTCCCTTGAGGTAATGATTCACGAGCTCCACGTCCGTTGGACGGAATCGGAAGCCCAGCGGGAAGGACTCCACCGACAGAACAGCCATTTCCCTAATCACCATCCAACCACTACTTCAGCTGTATCGCAGAGATCAGAGAGCATAGGAGACCGAGATAGGATCTCAAGAACCCTAGAGGGAGATAAAAAACCCAACAAAATTCTTACAGAAAACAATGTTCAACAGAAGGAGAGATAAAAAACGCGCTCGCTTGGGATCTTTCTTCCCACCTTTTTTATAGGCCACATTTTGTGCGGCAACAAATCCGTTGTTGTGATATGACCATAAGCTCCCTTCACGTAAGGTTGAAGAGAGACTGCGGGGCCCGCGGTGGCAGCGGAAAGGGAACGCGGGATGAACACGTCGAAGACGGCTATCTGGCCGTTGGATGGAGATCGGACGGTAGATATTTGGTTCAGGCTTTCCTTCGAGACGAAGGGTTGGTGATGATGACGTCGCGCGGCATCAGATCCATCGACGCAAGTCACTACCTCGACTGGCCGTCCAGTAGAAGCGTCCCTTTCCGACCAGTGTATTGGTGGTACCCACTCGCCTCCCTGCCTCTTGATTGGCCACAATTGGGACCCAGCAAGTCAGAAGGTTTGTATTGACCACATTAGTGCCAGTATGAATCAGCTCACTCTTTCATTTATGCCTTGTTCTTTTTATAAGAAAGTTGTTTCCATTCATCCCAAGTGAAGAGATGTAAAGAAATATATAAGAGATAATAAAGGTAACAACACTCTTACAACTTTGATAAGATCCTTCTCGATGGATAGGAAGAAAAAAAAGGCATCAATTCATCGGTAGGATGAATATGTCTCTCTTGATGTTAAAAAAGAAATCTTTTCATCAAAGATCCCTACGAATAGGATATATTCTTCAAGATATAATGAATACGGAAAGCTACCAATATATAAGTAGAATGATGAATCAAGATCATAAACTCTCAATATAAGTTACGATTAAACCAGTGAAACTATAGTGCATCCAAATATGATCAACTAAATATAATTAATAACATCGGTGTTTGTTAATTTCTTATTAGAATATGACAGATTTTGTTGAATCAAATTCAAATAGTAACATAACGATTTATATGAGTTAACTCAAAATTAATTAATTAAAATTAATATTACTATTTTATCCAATAAATTACCAATGATATAATTATAAAAATAATATTTTGTTCATGCTTTATAGAGCGTTAGCAATAGACTTAGCGGTCTCATTTTGTTTGATCTGTGGTGGACCATCTTGGATCATTTGTCGTACGATCATTTAGAGTTTACGATGTCCATGTTTATAATTTGCATTGATTATCATGTGTTTATTGAAACGACTACTCGTGGAATTTGAGTGAAATGCTTTCTCTAATCAATTTTCTTTTTTTGTAGGTCCTTAAATGATCATAAGAGGTTTTAGGAAAACTAATTCTTTGTGGATAGATACACAAATGTGTCGCACGACTTAAGCATAACATATGATATCAGAGCAAGAAAAGCATACTCATAAACACTTGGCATGCAAATGTTTGAGACTTAGCAGGATTGCGTTGAGGGCAGCCAGAATGCATGACTATTTAGAAGAAATAGGTATTAAGGTATAGTGAAAGAAGTCTCTAAGATAAGCAAGCATCCAAGATTGGTATTCAGAAGAATAGTCAATCATTCGCACAAGAAGCACCACAAGGACAAGCGAGCTAGGAAGAACATATAACATACAAAGGTTGGGATGATTAAGTTCGAACTATGACTCGATATTGACAACTAAACTTGACGGTAATGCATTAGTGGATGTATTACAAGATCAAGTGAAGGAGTGACTCAAGGTAACACCAGATGAAGATACACTTAGAGTCGATATAGAAATTAGACTCAATGGAAGGTCGACCCGTGGAATGGTAGGTGCAAGAGCCACCATCAACTCAATGCTAATTAAGGGACGAAGTAACCTGGGTGGAACTTGGTGAAGTACCCAAGCTGTATAAAGGGAGTCGACATAGAAGACGAAATATGGAGCAAAGGCATGAAGCTTTCATTGGACAAAGATCAAAACATGAACTCTTGCAAAGATAAGAATAATATCATGTTGTTCTATAGGTCCCTCACTCTGATGGAGCAGACTCATCCTATGATACCAAAGATGAAGGGAGCTTCAAGACATATGCACCTTATCTCGAAGAAGCATTTGATAGAGGAACTAAGATAATTCAACTTACAGAGACGAAGTTGAGGCCAGAAGATCTTGACACGAGACAAGAGAATGCGAATGTGAGTATTCTTGAATAATATATCATAATACTACCATTCGAGTTGTTGTGAAGTAAGCGATGTGCGATGGAGATTATACTGGGAGTAGAGACTCAGGATCCAGATAACACCAACTTCAACGAAGTCGATGGACTTTAGGAGCTGCTAGACAACATATTATCATAAAATTGTGCTTCGATTGTCAAACAAGCGAATAGAAATGACGAAGATCCTGCAATGTGTTGACAAAAACCACGTATCAGAGGTCATAGTCCGCCATAATAATTAGAATGCAATGGATTAACGATCGAATCTTGAATTACTCATAAAATAAAATGATTTTATCATAATTATGACGAGGATTTACTAATGGATTGGAATCTCCAATATTTTCTTATGAATAATTAAATGAATAATTAAAAAAGTCACTTGTGTAGGCTAATAGATGATATCAAACAGGAGATCGGTGAATTGTTTCGTTCAGGAACAACAATTGTATAGCTTATCAAATTGCGGAAGAGGGGAGGCTGCTGTCTATCTCGATCTGACGGATCAAATTGCACAACCGAAGAAGACCGCACGGTCCAGAGGAGGCGGCGGGCGCTCAGCCTGCTGCCGTGCAACCGCCGAGAGGTGTTGGCGGGCTCTCGACGGCCGGTGAGGAAGAAAAGGGAGACGCTTGCGGCCAGGAGGAGAAGGTTCGGCTTTGCCGCCGCAGAAAGAAGGTGGGGGGCACTTGTCTCATGCTTCTGCTCGACGGCGAAGTGAAGAGACCGCCGAGCAAGATGTTTCTTCACTGCGCTCGCCTCCTGCTATTTGCCGGTGACGAAGATCGACGGCGGAGAGCAGGCTGTCGCGGTGGCTTGAAGTCCGCCGGCTGTGATTTGGTTGGCGGCGAAGAGATCAGGCCGCCGACCAAGTTGCGGCGGACGGTGAGGAAGAAGGTGAGCGGGGGCGCTCGGGGCACAGAGCGCTTCGCCGGTAGAGAGCGGAATGGCAGCGGGGGGCAGAGACGCCGCCTCTACCGTAACGCCGATGGAGAGGAAGACAGCCGCCGTTCGCCGAGGAAACGCGGCAGTCGCTGTTGCGAAGAAAGCGAGTCGCCGCTGGGAGAACAACCACCGCTGGAAAAGAAGACGGTGGGAGTCGCCTCCTGCGATCCGTCGGTGAGGAAGATCGACCGAGGTCGGAGGAGAAGAGAAGAAGAGTAGGAAGCTGCGGTCGTCGCCGATCGAGATGGGAGGGGGTAGGATCTGTGAGATGCGTGCGCGTCTCACCGACCGCTTCTCCCGCCGTACTCAGCCGTCTGGAGCAGGCGGCCGCAAAGAAAGCCGCCGGCTCAGGGAGGAGAGGGGAAGACGCCGACGTAGGGAGGAGAAGGTGGCTGCGACAAGGCAGAGGGAGGTTGCTGCAGCCGATCGACGGCGGTAACCAGCAGAAGGACCGCCGGCGTAGGGAGGAGAAAACTGGCAGCGGGGTGACGTCGGACAACGAGAAACTCGATACCATGTTAAATTGAGAAATAAATTGGTGAAATAGACGATTTTTATTCATTGATATAATAAGTATTTACACAGATTTTGAGATCGAAAATTTTCTCGATCAATCACTCAAATCCCGTAATAAAACCAGTTATTCAAATCCAAATCTGAGATCGTCTGATCCAATTAGTGGGAACGCCCCCTGGGGGCACAGTCTTGGTAAAACACAAGGGTCTTCTTCTTCGTGCCTCTGATTGTAGGAACCCGAGATATGGACCCGATCATCCGATCCTTCCCTGTGGCTTTCCAGTAGCCAGCCTTGGTAGCTCGGTTGGAACGGTTGCCAGTGAGGTATTTCTGGTCCTTCGGCGAGAAGAAGAACCACTCCGAATCGTCTGATTTGATCAATGATGAACCTGGAAACTGATAAGCAGATAAGATTTCCTCAAGGCAGTTGAGGAAATCTCTCAGTAGTTGAGAAGCAGATAAGATTTCCTCAAGGCAGTTAAGGAAATCTCTCAGCAGTTGAGAAAAAT